AAAAAAAAATATGACGTTTTTCTTATGTTTTTTTATTATTTAATTTTTAATAATGTGCTAAAGAAGTTGTAACAAAATTTGAATAAATTGAAGGAAATATAGAAGCCAATACATTTTAAAAGGGTAAACTTGGAAAACAAAAACTAACTTGTGTGATGAATTAATGACATTGTTTTAAGTGTAAGGAAAGTGACACTTGTCATGAGGAGAAGGGAGAATGTCCAAAAGAGAAGGTTGAGAGAAGGTTGCTAGCATTTCTCATACAGCAATTTGAATAATCACCAGTGTTGACCAGGGCGGCCCTTGCCCAAGGCCACTAGGGCATCGCCCGGGGCCCACAATTGAGAGGGGCATAAATTTTTTTTTTTTTTCATATATATAGGCATATGCAAATAAAAATAAAAATCCTCATAAAAAAATAAAATAAAAAAGTAAAGTAAAGGGGCATGTGTGATATTTATTGAGAGTCTTACTTGGTAGTTTAAAACAATAATAAAAAGGGAAATAAGGATGCAAATAGATCTAGAAGCGATGGAAGTCTACATCATTGTTTTCCCAAGAAGCAAGAACCAGACAAAGATCCCTGCTCTTGAAATCAATTTTTATTTATGTTCTCTCCGAAACGAAACTAAGTGTGAAAGAAACAAAGCCATTTTTAGTTGGAAATTGATTGTTCTCTTCGAAATTGGGAGCACCTGCACCAGAGTGCAACATACATGACCCAACATATAGGATATTATTGACCATATTTGTTTGGGTTTTCCTCAAATAAGGTTTTAATGAGGCTCAAAGTATTCTATATTATCGATTGTAAACTCTTATAATTCTAATAAAATTTATTATTTGATAAAAAATTATAATTTTATTTATTTATTTATAAGGGGCACATTCTTAGATTTTGGCCCTGGGCCTTAAATCACCCAAGTGTCGGCCCTGGTGTTGACTGGTGAAACCAGTGGTCAACATAAAACTTTGATCCTAGAGGGGGTGCAAGGTTACATGGATCAAAATGAAAACAAGATTGGGATACGGAAGAACACAAGTGAAGTTGATAATATGCTTTGATTGATCTTCTCATAATTATTAATATACAAAGAGCGTAGAGCATGGCCTGGGGATTAGAACGCATCCTCCTTCATATGAGTCTTCTATTTATAGGCGCATGGTGAAGGTGGTCTGCATGGTCTGGGGAGGCGCAGCCCACTAGGCTGAAAACGTGGCTTTTGGTAATCCATCGCTTCCAAGCAGGGGCTCAATCAGAAGTTGACACGCTGATAGTCATTAGTGCCTTATGCGGTTTCCTAGGTGATTAGATACGGGGACGTCTTCAATCATTTGCGGCCCCTCAGTTCTCAGTGAGGCATCCCTCGCGGTGGAGAAATGCCAGGTTTCCAACTCATTATCCCAAGCCAATAGAATACTGCCACCTGCCAATCTTCTCTATAAACTTTTAGAAATATATTTTAATAAAAAAAATCAACCAAAAAGTTAAATTTCTCTCTCATCCAATCTCTACATCCGTGCCAGCCCTTTTACTTCCCAATTAATTTTTTTTTTCTCAAACACAATTAATGTTTTACATTTTTTTTTGCCAACCCTCTTGCGTCTCTTAAGGGCTCTTTTAGTATGCGGGATTGTCATGGACTAAACTAAATATTGGGACTATCTTGGATTGGCTCGACTTGGCATAAGCTGGATAAGACTTGTACTGTGTTTGGTGCATGATTGGATTAGGACTAAATTTTTTAACTTTTTTATTTTTAATTTAAAAAAAAAAAAAGGCAAGTGGATTTATTTGTTTTGTTTTGTTTTTAACTTTTCTTCTTTCTTTCTCTGTTTCTTCCAACCTGCGACTTCTTCATCTTCTTCTTCTCCCTCCTCTCTCCTTCTGCTTTTCTTCTCAATCTATTTATCTCTCTGCTTCTTAATTCAAAATTTTATACTCTCTCAATTTCCTATTTCACTATTTCTCTCTTCACCTTCCTCTCTCTTCAATAGCCACATGCCCAAACCCCACAATCTA